GTGTGTGTGTGTGTGTGTGTGTGTGTGTGTGTGTGTGTGTGTGTGTGTGTGATCATATCGTTGGTATATTGTTCTGAATTATCACCAGCGTTATGAGTGTCGTGTGACAAGTCTGATTTTTATTTCTTTCTTCATCATAATAATATGTGTCACGACGCGGCTGAATCAGGTGCTCGTCAATATTTTGGTATATGGAGTCGATGTTATCATCTTTGTTCATTTGCCATGCATTCGATGAAAAAACACCAACCCATCTATCTTGAACAGAAGTTGAGATATCTCCGATTGAAGAAGGTGTGGGTCATCTGGTTTAGTGCTAAAATTATCGAGAAAAAAGGCCGCCAAAGTTTGGAAACTTCCGTCGCTTGAAAGTCCCTCGGAAATGAACATTTATACTTTTTGTGTCTTTAATTTTAATCTACGTTTTTCAGTAAAAATCCCTACAGAAATGTGTTTTTAAACAGACATAAAATTAATGTGTTGAGCTGCGCCCAAAAAAGCCCACCACAAAAATTCGAGAAAAAGAAATTGGCATATATAGGCAGGAAAATGCCGTTTACTTCGATTTCATTATTTTGACGAGCGATGATTTCACCACGATGCCTCACATATCCCTCTATGCTTGTATTTATGTCGTTTCCTTATCAAACCACGTTCGTGTCTCGCCATTGTTCCAGCACAAAGGAGCCCCGTACTGCCACAACCCTTGCTACAGGGCGCTGTTTGGACCTTCAATTCTAGGCTATGGATCGAATATCTCCTCTCCAGCCAACTTTACTTGTTCTGATAAACCGGCGACGCATGCCTATGGAGCGGGAAACGGGAACAAGACAGAAATCTTCAGTTATCGAAAGAATCACGTGACTAAATCAGCCAATCGTGACAGGAGGTCACCACGTTCAAAGTCAAAGCGGAAAGATCTCACCCCCGAAATGTAAGTTGCCTTTGTGATACATGTACTGCACTGTCAAACCTAGCTCTAACAGCCACCAGCTTAAGACAATCACCTGTACAAACAGCCACTTCACCTTTCCTTTGTTACCGGTACATATTTTTTACATTAAAATGACTCTCTGCAAGAAAGACACGACCTGTCTAAGACGGTCATTTTTCTCTTCGAAAATTGATGGCCGTATTAGACAATTTAGACTCTATTTAGTTTAAATCTTTCCATCAGGCCATCGGCACCAAAGCGAGGCCAGCAACAATAATATAGGCCTTACAATACAAAAGTAACAACACTGGTGGGGGCTTGTTTTTAAAAATCTCGTTTGTTGCTTTTTTTCTTTTGCTTGTTTGTTTGTTTGTTTGTTTGTTCATTCGTTTGTTTGTCCGTTTGTTTTTTCGGTCATTCATTTTTGTCACAATGAGGGGTCCCTACATCGCACCCACCACTTACTCCCTACTTCTTTTTTTTTTAGTTTCTATTATCCTCTTTTTTAGTT